AGTCGTTGTTATAGACGATGACTGGAATGCGCTTGCATTTTGAGCTGGGCCTGGTGTATAGGCCGGCGGGGCTTCATTGTCAGGATTTTGTGTTTTAATCGAGGAAAAATTAGGTGGACGAGCAGATGATGGTGGCAATCCGGTACTGTTGTTGCAATTTCCAATATTCTTGAACATATCCGCTGGCACTTTGAGGGTATCTTTTGGATTCCGGAAGGCTCTTGTAAATCTATCGAGCATACTTTCTTATTGTTGAAACGATGGCTGTGGTGAGGTTGTGAAAGGAAGTGTGGTTTCAAAAGCCAGGAGCCCGATAGTCTTGAATCAGGTCTGGACATTCAGACTAGATATACAAATGTCTTTGGTTATTCTGCCTTGCAATGCGCCTGACTGGTTTGCAGCAGAGGTGGCGCCACTAGCTGCACACAGCCACGGAGCTAGGGCCACTGCCCCAGCCGTCCTCCATGTACATGCAATCAGGCCGTGACAGGCATGCTCAATAACCACGACATATAGTGAGTAGCTGATTTTCGCATGAATGTTACCCCTGAATTTGAATCAAGGGCTCCTTCTATGCATGTAAGGGGCTCTATTGATAATGCTGAACCCGGGTTTCCATGACCGTGTCTGAGTTTGATCTTTTACCAAGACATGCATATTTAGTACAAATGAATGACTGAGATTTAATGCTAAGAACGTCAAATCACCTTACGATTGTATTTCACTGTGCTGGACGTGGATATTTGACGACTTCAGAAGGAATTCTTAGGAAGAATAATCTTGACGGCGATCAGAATTGATCAGAACACATAGAGGTAAGCAGTTACGAGCATAGCGTAGTTAATACATATTACGTACGCATGCTGGCCAGCAAACCCTCTGGCGAACGACATGAGCCCGAGTGGCGCAGCAAGTCGCAACAATGGAACGGAAATATAAAAAAAATCACGAAGTCCGATGACTGTCGTATGGCGGATAGACGTCGTGTGATCTTTTGAATCAGGGTTGCCTAACATGTTTGGGCTTGGATGTAACTACTGGAGGTGAGGAATAGATGCTTGCTTGGAACTTTTCATCGTTTCTCACTCTTACAAACCTACGCCTTCGTCGCATACCTGCGGCTATCACAAGCTCGTTTCGCAGGCACCTAAAAAACTCGACAGCAACCCGCTACCCTAGCATATGCGCATGATTGTGCACTGCATGGCCTGGCCCGCTTTATTTGCCAAGCACTTGCAAATGATGCCAACATGTGTACAGGTAGCCATGCCGTGACACTTGCGCCTCACCGCCGGGCCCTAGCTGAGGGAAAGCACTCATCGAACAAGGGGACAGGATTTTCGGACGCACAGAGTCCAGAAATGAAAGCGGCTGGACACAGGATGCAGGCAAGGCTCAGAGCCATGACACGACTCTGAGGACACAGCAACAAGGGCACGGGGCGGCAGAATGAGTCAAACGATGCTGCCTGGGCCAGTATGATAGGCTGGCGGTGCGCTGTGACCGTGAGGGACTATGATAGTAGCGTATGATTATGTGACAAACCTAGACAACTTTCGTAGCCACGGCGGCTGCCCGCCGTCCCATCGCGACAAACACTGGCACAACAAACACTGCGATAACAACTAGCATAATAACGAAGTCAAAATCAAATACTCCAAAAGACCCACAAGTGGCATTAGCTCCTACGTAGTCGGTTTTCAAGGCAAAAAACTCCGTCGTCACAGCCCTTGCTAACTTGCTCAGGGGCAATCAGTCAGAGCCACCAGGCATCCAAACCAGGGCAACAGATGATCATCGGGCTGTGTTTCAGGGTACTTACTTCGAAACGGACTGAGAAAATCTTTACCTTTTGCAACCTTTTCCATGCCAAATTTCCTCATGTGAAGGGCGCTTATGATGCAGTGATCTGAAAGGCGGCACCTGTCGCGGTACGATGAGTGGAAAGGAGCCTCGAGTGATGTACGAGTCCGAATTGCGCTAAGTAGAGAACTTACGTGATAGCCCACATATTGTAGTAGCGTGTCATTGTTACGGTCGTCGGCTCCAAGTTTTCCACGAACATGTACTACGCGACAAGCTCGAAATTGTAGATTGATGGAACCGGTTTGAGTGACGAGGTCGGGTAGCACTCACAACCATAAGCTTTATTGATCAGATGGCGCCCCAGAGTCTCAAGAGCTTGACATTAGCGATGCCGCAAGGAGGGCTTTTGCTGGATTTTGAGGAACACACATCACTGCTTTTAACACAGAGCAACACGCTGGCTCTCAACCAGCGACCGAGGACTCGACTATCCGGATACCAGGCGTCGAGTTGGAAAAAACTGGGCTAACACTGCCGTCGACTATCAACTGTGTGCAAGGCCATGTCTACATCAAGGCGTACTGTTTGCACAAGAGCAAGGCAACTAACCAAGACGAATGTCGGTTTCTAATGCCCGACGAGTGCCGTGATGAAGCCAAGGTCGACCATCACCCGTCACATTCGTATATGCAGTTCTTCCTTATGCGAAACAATAGCTATATCAACAAGTACAACGGTCTGACCTCTATGGCAAGGCAAGTCAACACGGGCATCGCGCCCTGCATCAGCACGGCGGCTGTTATCGAGAATACATTATCAAGTATGCCGCAAAATGGGAAAAGGCGACGACGTTGTATCGCGAAATGGCGCAAACGATAACCATCAACGATACTCAACTAGATTAGAGTATGATTACCAAGTTGATGAATCGGCTTATTGGAGAACGGGATTACTCTGCGCAAGAGGTGTGCCATATGCTGTTCAACTTGAACCTCTCACAAGACTCACGCCAATTCATTACGATAGATCTTCGTCACTCCGACCAGTATGCCCATCATTACCGGGTCGAGGGAGGAGAGTCTCGCTGGGATCTCTCCATCTTGGGGTACTACCAGTAGCGACCAGCAGATCTCGAAGACGTTAGCTACTTTACTTTCCTTTGCTCGCATGCGCATCGTGCGCTGTACAACGTTCGCCGCCGGGCAAAAAACCGCATCATCAACTACTTCCTGCAATATGCCAGGGAAAACGTTGAAGATTACGGCTGGGCAAAGCTTATGCTCCATCATCCGTTTCGAACGCTCCAAGACGTCTTCTTCCTCCCAGAAATCCACGACGAGCCATGCGACGCGTATATGGAGGCATGTGAAATGTCTCGAGAGCGTTGCACCTACCCGCACGATAGATTCAACGACCCACTTCCTAATCCAGAGCCGTCTACCCACGAGGATACTCAAGAAGATCTCGATGAAGAAGCGTTGAGCAACATGGACGCTGAATGGGGTGAACTCGCCCGGCAGCTCCCAGATAGCAATGGCAATAATGTCGACCTACTCGGATGCCGCGCAGAGCATAATGTTGATTAGAGCGGCCTTGTAGGCACCCATCCCGACCTGCAGGCCGACTGGTGGAAGATATCAAAAGCGGATCACTCAATAGGCACATGCGACATTGGTCCCGTTACTTCATACAATCGGCGCAAGGTTAAGCAAAAATTGCTTTGGGACACCTTTTTGGACCACTTTAGGGGTGTATTCAACGAGCCAATACGAAGACAGTTGCTCCTCCACATTGACGGCAAAGGAGGCACCGGAAAGACCACTGTCATCATGTCCATGTGTGCCGAAGTTGAGCGTATCACTGGCAACCTTGGTTCATGTTCTATTGTTGTTCGAGTATCTTCTACAGGAGTTGCTGCCTGTGATTTTAATAGTAGCACTTTGCATTCACTTCTTCGACTGCTAGTAAAGGATAAGGTATATCAACTATTATCGCTCGGCAACTTTCGTACGCTACAAGTTTTACTCTCTCCGGTATCTCATCATAGACGAAAAGCCCATGGTGTCGCCACGCCACCCTTGTCGTAACACTCAACTCCTTCCCAGTTACTGCAATATAAGGATGGGAGTAGTTGAGTGCTTTGATATTTTATGGATGGTAGAACTGTGACCGACTGTTGGGGGTTTCGCAACTTGCTTAGTCTTGCAAGTCTGTTTAAGACTTATTCAAGCTAGATAAAGTGTCAGACATGCCTTTGCAGGAAGCAGTAACCGTCCGTTACTAAGAGCACGGTTCTGTACTCCGAGGAGCTTTTGTGTTAAAGTGTGGACAAAGTCGATAGTGAGTGGGGCTCAACATACGCCAGAAGGTATTGATAGACCAACATCCCTACTATGGGTAAGAGGGATGCAACCAGCCCACTCACACCCACTAGTATCTCACTGCTGCTCAGCAGCCATCCCAGTAGCTTTTGCCCAACATTTTCCATTGGCTGTACCGTGTATGTAGCCTGTAAGCCACTATAGAGCCCTGAAGCATGCTACGCCACTCACTACCTGATTGCCAATGAAAATTGGCGTATCCTACCTTGAGGATATGCTCGGCTTGCAGTGGTGCATTGACACGGCCGTAGATCTTAGCCAAACCATCGCCTCGCGCCTAGGGCCAGTTGACATCTCGGGTGGCCTTTACCGGCGCATTAATTTCAGTCTTGGCTATGTTCTAACACAGCCTCAATCAGTGTTCGCTTTGTTAGGGTTCCAGTATCCCACTATACATACAATCTATCCATTGTAGTTTATCGTAAACCGCTTTTACCTGCGCTTCGTATGGTTTGGTATTCTTCCCGAGCTCGGACAGTAGCATGGCTTCTGTGCATCCGTCAAATTGACGCCTATTCAGACCCCCTGGGTTGCTAGGATGGCACGGGGCTTGTGGCGGGCTCGTGGACTCAGTCCAACGGGCCCAGGCTTGTTTGGCCTTGACAGCCCGTGCGCTTCCCTGAGTGTTCCGCACGCACAGGTACTGTCAATTGCCATTCAAGCATTAACGTCATATGATAGCTAGGCTTATCGGATACGGTACGCTAGGATCATACCAATAGAACTTAGTTAGGTCAATTGATGGTAACATTGGTTGGAAGTTGAGCCGGGCCTGGCTTGACTTTAGGAAATGAAGAAAACAGGCTGACTACCTGCAATTGCGATCTTCTGAACTTGGTTCTGCGTTTATTCCACAGACAACGTACGGCATAACCTGAGACACAGTCCCTTGCCAACACATCAACCAATTCAGTTCGGGTTAACTCCGCTATGTGTGACGTATATCATCGATGCCACGCTGAATGAAGCTTATCCCTGAAATTTGCGCGATTAAGACATATAGATTAGCATCTAAAACGGCTAGGCGCACCGCCATCCTTTTAGAGATAATTGGTTGGGCTGTTGGAGGACCTCTCTAAGCGCGGGCAGGTTCAAACAGCCCTCCATCTGCAATCCGCACAAATGCTTGGGCGTTGCATGTCTTTCGCGTTGACGTAAGCTGTATAAGCCAAGGAAATGGAAAAAGGAGAGTGATGGTTGCCTTGTAGGAGCCGGTGGGAGGCCGCCCATTGTCATCGCCCCACCATGCCTTGTTGGTTGCGATAATTGCAGGGAGGAGACAGACTTACGACTTTGCCCATTATTTTAGTACCTCATTCAAATCAGAATTGCTGTGTATACCTTTTAATACAGCAACACGAGAAATTGGCGACCCGGTGTGTAAGTCTACCTGTTTTTTCTTCGTCCTTGCTCCCTATACACCAGTAGGCAGCGCAGGTCCGTGCATTAGTGGGAAACGGAGGACCGCTGGGGCACCAAGGCCTTTTTTCTTTAGTAACTAAGTTTTATGAACTGCGTACTTTCAGGAAAATCTCAGGCTGCACCAGTAAGCTAAACACCTAGATCGAGGTATGTTTTGGATCCGGTTTGATGAAGCCTCCTATGTTGATTATGCATACTCTCCAATCTCACACCCTCTGGTTCAACACTGTCGAATTTGCTCCAAAGGGCCGCCAACAAGAAGACTACACGCCAACGTCTTAGGCAATCACTCAGCGTGGCTGACTCGTGGCAGCAGAAATGTCCCAACACCACCCCGAAGGAAGCTACCAGGGGTTCTTCGGCTCTTATATCAACAATAATCCAGTACCTCGGCTTCAAATCAGTACTGCGGAACAGACAGAGCCCTGGAATCCGTCACAGCGCCCGCGAAGTGTGCAAAACATGAGAGAACAGGCATATAGCCCAGCTACGTCGGTACACACCACAAAACCTACTCCTGGTACAATGCTAGCAGAGCGAATGATCTACCATCAGTCAGATCT